AAAAAAAAAAAAAAAAAAAAAAAAGTCTATTCTGCTGCAAAAGTGAAGGCCTCTATACAATAACAAAGAAATAGACAAAAACACTTTGTAAATCATACTCGGTTTAAAGCTTCAATAACATCTGTTGGAGCAAGATTTAATTCATCCAGAATAACCCAACTACCCAGACGGACCGCTTTCAGTAGAGCTCCTTCTACGAAAACGAGCTTCCCATTAACATCAGGGGCATAAGAACCAATGTATTCTTGGAGGTCCGTATGTTCATGATTATTTATCCGAGTGATGTGATTCCCTGTTACCTGAGCTAGATACGTCACCTGTAAAAAAGCACAAATTTAAAAATACCCTTCCTTCCTGAAAAGAAGCTTAAGCTTTATAAGCAGAATGAATGTTTTTATATCTGCAGTACCATAGCTGTTTTCCCCGCAGAAGTCTCTCCCTCAAGCAAAACAGGATATCTTGCGCTGCAGACTACTCTTGCTAATTGTGCCAAATTATCTCTCACTGATTTCGTTTTTACATAACAGGGATCATCATACGGTTCAACCGGGCCAGCCTCAATCCAATAACCTTCCACCTTTCTGAAAAACGACAACCAAAATGCATCCCTTTAAGCCCAGATAGAACCAAGAACATTTTTAATAAAAAAAATGTGATGAGGACCTACAACCCTTACATATATTTTCCAGGATTTGCAGCTGCCAACTTTGGAGGAGGTAAAGAGGTTGAAGATATCACTCCGATGTACTCATTAATTATTTTTTCAATTTTCGTTCTTTCACAGACATTAGCGTCGGTCCCAAATGACATAGAGAGAGCCTCGTGCAGATTCCGTCTCTCACTTCCAAATAAATCATCTGACGCAAATGCAAGAGCTCTACACAAGGTCCGTAAGCTACAAAGTAAACAGATTCAACGAGCACTAAACACCCTGGCTTTTGAAGCTTATGTCATCAGTTCCTCAAAATTTACCATCCAATTTGAAGCTTTATAATTTATATTCATAATTTGCACTTTTTGTATAAATCATTAAAGGTACAAAAGCATGCATGCCTGTACTTCCCAGGATACTGAAGCCTAAGCTTTTCATAAACTTGCAAAACTGCAGCCAGACGTTCAGATCCTATAGATGGCAGATATACTCGAGATATAGCAGCAAGCTGTGTTGAGTCTGTAGTTTCACGAACAAAAAATTCAGTAAACCTTGACCTGAAAAACAATAGAGAAATAATTAGCTATTCAAGAAATAGACCTTAACATCTACGAAAGTAAATTCTAGCCTCTACCGTTTTATTGCAAATTTTAAAACAGTAAAAACTGTAGCCATATTCTTCAAACTTATCGTACGCCTGAATATACTTTTGTACTTTATTAACAAGAATCTTAATGAAGCAGAAAAGTAGTTATGTAAAAAGCAACAGATGGCCCATAAATGAAAGAAACTAATTGAAGGCAAGAAGAAAGCTGAGACGATATGGCGACACTAGCCTATCTCAAAAAAACCTGATGAAATCAAAAAGAACAAGTAAAATGAAATCTGTACTTAAGAACTCTTTTAGGAAATTTCAATACAAAATTCCGAGGTATACTCGTATAAAACCTTGAAATCTGTAAATTTTCTCCAGTGTCGTAAATACCATGACAAATGTAATTAATAAATCAAAAACTAAAATTTCTTT